GCCAGCGAGATTCTGAGCGTGGCGGAGTCGCTGCTCAAGCAGCCAGAGTTTGTGGAGGCGCGTCTCGACTTCAAGCTGGACATAACGTAAGTCAGTTGCCAGGTAGATGGACGAGATTAGAGAGTGAACCATTCCATTCCGTTTCGACAGCGCGCACTTGAAGAACATCTCGAAGCGCATTGGCCAGCTGCAGCAGCAGTACGGGCCGAAGCACAGGACGTTGTGCAACCAGATCGAATGCCTTAGCCGGGAACAGCTGCTGGAGTTTCTGCGCCGGATCAACGATCGCTACAATCGGGCTGTGAGCGAGCCGGGCACCGCGGTTGGCGCCATCGCGGCGCAGAGCATTGGCGAGCCGGGCACACAGATGACCCTAAAGACGTTCCATTTCGCTGGCGTTGCCTCCATGAACATAACACAGGGCGTGCCGCGCATTGTGGAGATCATCAATGCGACCAAGACGATCTCGACGCCAATTATCACAGCGGAGCTGCGCAACAATATGAGCATGGAGTTCGCCCGCCAGGTGAAGGCGCGCATCGAGAAGACAACGCTGGGTGAACTCTCCTCGTATGTGGAGCTGGTCTGCGGTCCGCAAAGCTGTCACCTGGTCATTGGCATCGATGCGGCGCGCATCAAGGTGCTCGGCCTGCACATCGATCTGGACAGCATCATGTGCAGCATTCTAAAGTCGCGGCTGCGCATCAAGCCCGCCCAGCTGCACGCGGTGCCCAAAAAGTCGCGCATCATGGTGCGCGTCGAGGCGACACGGAATGCCACCATCAATGCCGAGCTGGCACGCCTGGCGACCACCATACAGAACGTGGTCGTTGCCGGCCTGCCCAATATAGCGCGCGCCGTCATCGCCGTGGACGATGCCCATCAGCCGCCCACCTACAAGCTGTGCATCGAGGGCTACGGCCTGCGCGAGGTGATCGCCACATACGGCGTTGTCGGCGAGCGTACGCGCAGCAACAACATCTGCGAGATCTACCAGACGCTGGGCATTGAGGCGGCGCGCACGATCATCATGAGCGAGATCACCGATGTGATGGAGGGTCACGGCATGAGCGTCGATTGGCGTCACATTATGCTCCTGGCCAGCCAGATGACCGCGCGCGGCGAGGTGCTGGGCATCACGCGACACGGCCTGGCCAAGATGCGCGAGAGCGTCTTCAACTTGGCTTCGGTAAGACGGAATCTTCTTCTGCTTGCTTCTTCTACATTTGTTCACATACGCTTCTCTCTCTTTGGCAGTTTGAGAAGACGGCGGATCATCTGTTCGATGCCGCCTATTATGGCCAGACGGATGCCATCAATGGCGTCTCGGAGCGCATCATCTTGGGCATGCCGGCGGGCATTGGCACCGGCATATTCAAGCTGCTGCAGCTGCACGAGGACAAGCAGGTGCCATCGATTGAGCCGACCCTCTTTCATAAGCTCGGCCTGCATCCGTTTGCCTAGCCCGGATAGTATGCGCCTCTAACTCCGCCCGCCCGCCATCATCCACTCAGTTCCTGTGAAATGCCGTAGCAGCTAGTTGTTAGCCCTTAGTTAGTCCACCTAGTTGGGATGTGTCGCCATGTTCCCATTGCCGCCAAACTGTTTTAAGCTAATTCCCTTTACCTTCGCTTCGCTGACCCCAACAGATGCCGAGCGTTAAGTTTAAATTAATAAAGTTGACCATAATCTGTTTAAATATCAGATTTAACATATTTTATATCCTTAAGTCCCGCTGCAGCTACATATAGGTAACCCCAAGGATTGGATGCCCTTGCGGACTTACAATTGATGTACGTTAGATTTAAATGCTTTTATACAAAACTCTATTTCCGAAGGACTTTCTCTTCGGGTAAAGCAATCTAGATGTTGATGAGAATTTACTTAGGTATTGAAAACATGGATCACTGGTATGGTAAATTAATCAGGATTGTCACAAAATGTTCCTATGTTAGCCAAATGTTATAGCAATACGCTACGGAAGATGCCGAGATTTGAACTGTCTGTCAAAAAAGTCTGTGCTTAGCAAAGTTTCAAGACAAAAGCTTCAAAGCTGAGCGACTATTTTGCCTTGAGAAGAACTTTCGAATCGGCTGATCAAGCATATATATATATATATACTTTTTGAGGTTGTAGATTTGTTTTTGCTTTTAACACACTTCGTGACAAAATTATAATATAAATTAATAATTAAAGAATAATGTGCATATAAGGATTGCTTTCTTTTTAGCTATTATCAGCTTCTCAGTCGAAACTTTTTCTAGATTATATAGAAAAACAAATTCAGGGAATTACTTTAAAGCATTTTAATGATAATAGCTAGAACGTGCATATAAGTAAGTCGATCTGCCTGGAGACTAACAGCTTAAAGAAACAACAAATAATTAAAATAGAGTTCGGTCTGTAAGTATATAATACAATATGTTTAATTTGTAATCCTTAAAACCTGAAATTCGTTTCCGATTAATATTCGTGCGACTCTTAATTAATATAATAAAAATAGCTTTATTATAAAATCTGAATATAATTATAAAGGATTCCAGTTTTACAAGAACTATAACTTTACAATAATAATGTTGCCAGATTTAGATGCCAAATTGTTTTTGTATATATGTATGTATGTATGTATGTGTGTGTGCGTGTATATATGTATGTGCGTATATATGTATGTATGTGTGCATGTAAATTGTCTTGTAAAATACCAATAGCAGACCAATTTGTCTTGTTGCGCCGCATATTTAAATAAGAAAACGTATTTATTAAAGCTGCTCTCCTCCTCGATTCTCAAAAATGTAAGTAAGGCTTGCAGGCTTCACCTATGAATTATGCACAGGCGGCTCCAACGCTGGAAGCAGAGGAGCAGGAGGAGCACCAAGGGGGCGGAGCAGGAGGCGTAGGTATGTATGTAGGTATGTATGTATGTATGTATGTATGTATGTAGGTATGTATGTAGGTATGTAGGTATGTAGGTATGTAGGTATGTATGTATGTATGTATGTATGTATGTATGTATGTATGTATGTATGTATGTATGTATGTATGTATGTATGTATGTATGTATGTATGTATGTATGTAGGTATGTATGTAGGTATGTAGGTATGTATGTATGTATGTATGTATGTATGTATGAATGTATGTATGTATGTATGTAGGTAGGTAGGTAGGTAGGTAGGTATGTATGTATGTATGTATGTATGTATGTATGTATGTATGTATGTATGTATGTATGTGCGTGCTTAACTAATTCCCTTCTACTCGATTCTCATGAATTCAAGTAAGCCTCATAGGCTTCACTTCAAGTGCAGGAGACGGCGGCCCTAACATTGGAGGAGGCGACTTTAATTTTGGAAGAGACGGGAGCTTAAACAAAAGAAAAAGCGGCTTTAATCTGAGAAGAGGCGGCAGCTTCTACTATGGTGGAGACGGCTTTAACTGTGGAGAAAACGACAACAGGCGGAGCCGGCGTTCTTGAAGAAAGAAGAAGGCAACATTTTCAATATTGGAGGAGACGCTGGCTACGGTTTTTGCGGAAGAGAAAATTGGTGCGTATTAAAAATTTAACTATGTCTTATTATTATGACAATCGTATATTTTCAAGTTTGTGTGAATGTATTTGTACACATACATGCACATGCAAGTATTTAAATATGTGTCTATGTTGAGCTGAGCTGAACATGAACAAAAAAGTATTTTAAAATATTGCTCTACTACGCGATTCTCACGAATTCAAGTGAGGCTTAGCAAGCAAGCTGTTTTTAAACTTTCTTTTTGTTCTTTCAGGGTTGTTTTTATATAAGAATTCGTCTCCCGCCTACTGATAGATGCTTTTAAAATAAGCGTGTGTAACAGGTAAGTACCTAATTTAAAATATCTCTATGAAATAAATTGTTCGAACTGTTCGCACTAACTAATTGACTGAGGGACTGACTGAAAGACTACAGTGAAAATTTCAGCTTCCTAGCTCTTAAAGGACAACCCGTTTTATATATAGAGATAAATATAGATGTGTACTTCTCCTATAACTATTAACATTCGGAAATTATAAATTTCAGTTACTGGAAGCTAAAATTGTTATAAATATTTAAATGTCTTTCATTTCAAATTTTTATATTAATAAGTTTTCTTTTGCGTAACATTCCCATTAGCGAGGCATCACTGTAACAGCTATATTTATATCAGGAATACTTGGAAATAGCTCAATGCTTGTCAAAGTCATGGACATTGATAAGGACTGAATATGTTATCTATCATTAAATATACCCCCATAGCAAATACGAGCTACCAAATGGGTAATACCCATTATATCCGCAGGTGTAGCTAGTAGAGTATGCACGACCTGAAGACTGAGAATGTTGCATGTGAGTCCTGTAAAACGTTCGCAGATTATAGATTATATTAGCCAAGTCGAAGAAAAGAGTTATCAGGATAAGAATTTTATAGGGTAGCTGCGCCTAAGTGTCCATAGGACAAGACCTGAAAGAAGAATACCCTGTAATCCACAAGTGTGTGGGGCATTTTGAGCACATCCCGTTTGAGCCCAATCAAATACAAAATTTCCATTATTTTCACTTCGTAAATTTATTACATAAATATATAGTATATAATATATATGTAGTTGTATATATATTTTTAAAGGGTATTTGCCTTGCATGAATGTAACATATAGAGTTCTATAATTATAAAAAAAGAAGAAAAAAAAACAATAAACAACAAAATTCGTTCGATATTCCATATAACCTTGCATAAGATAAAAGTTTTCATTTAATAAAGAGATAGTTTTTTGGGGGTTTGCTTAGAATAGGAGCATGGAGCATAATTAAACTACGCAACAAAATAAATGAAGCATAAAATATTAATAATAATAATTAATGGAAACGAAAAAGAAAAATAAAAACCAACTTAAATATGCATATCACAGGATTATTTTTATACAAAGAACAACATTTCAAATAGTTCAATTTTCGATGCAAGATGCAAAAAAAGGAAAACGGAAGAAATCTTAAATTGAAAACCTTGCAAAAGCTTCACATAAGCACTTTAATTTTATTTCAATTATTTCATGAAACTTAAAAACAAAGCAAAACCTTTTCATTATCCCTCGGTCTGTTGGAGCAGGAGCAAAAGCAGGCATAGTTCAGATATACGATAGTATTCCATATGGGATTAGTTATATATATATATATAGATAGATATTGGCTACATTTCCATTTGGGGACTTCTCATGCATATTTAATTGAGCTTAAGACTAGTAAAAAAAAACTCGTTTAGCATAGAGTACAATTAAATATTTCAGTTATTTATGATCTCATCTAGAATTATAGATATATATATATATTATGAATATAGCTAGGTGTATATGAACTATGACTATATAAAATTGTTTACTTTGGGCTTTGGGCTTTGCTTCACCTGCTCGGAGCCGACTAAAACTTAAATTTAAAGAGAGAGTGCGCGCAGGGGTGAGCGGAGGGTGCGGGGGGCGGTTAATAAACCTTTAAATCAGTCACTAACATCGCCATCGTTGTGGGCGTGGCTGGCTGCCGCCTCTGCCGCCGCCTCTGCCGCCTCCCCCTCCGCCAGGGGCTGCCCGTAACCGTTTCTCCTGTCATGAATTAGCATCGAGAGCGTCTCCAGGCTGCGGCGCACCTGTTGAACAGACAGCAAAACTTTGATTGAGCTTTTATTTAGGTTTATAAGTAATATAATAACCAAAACAAAAAGTCTGTCTGCGAGGCCTTTGCTTGATAAGATTATGCAAAATGCTTGCCACACTTTTTTGCGATTGATTTCCCATTTCTCGATTGCATTTGGAAAAGCTTTCGCAATATATTAAAGCTCTTGCCTCTCTCAATGTCCTGTCACAATTTTCTCTTTCAGTTCATTAAAGTTCAAAAACATATTTTAAGCTCTTTTATCTTTCTCTTCTAGTCTAATAATTAAATCCCTTCAAATTTGTTTCTTTTCCGACTTTCGATTGTCCGATCGATTACATTACAGTAAGAGCTTTTACAAAAAACAAAAAGCTCTTGCCTCTCTTAATGTCCTGCCATAATTCTCTCTTTTGATTCATCAACGATTTTAAAGCATAAGCTTTAAGCTCTCTCGTTCTCTCTCTCTCGCTCTCTGTATTTGTTATATCCTCTCATAAGCTTTAAGCTCACACACCCAGCTTTATTAGCAGCAAAAGCTTTCTCTCGCTCTCTCTCCCTCTCTCTGATTTTCTCCCTCTCCCCTTTTCTCTCTATTTTGGTAGCCAGCAAAAGCTTAAGCTCTTTCTTCATATTTGCTTTTATGTTTACAGTTCTTTCGTTTGACTCATGGAAGATAGAGCAAAGCTTTCTCGCAACGTTTCCTTCTCTAACTTATTCTATTTTACTTTCTTAATATCCTTTCACACTTTTTCTTTTCATTCATGAAAGTTTAAATAGGATTTGCTTAAAGCTCATGCGCCAAGCTTTATAAACAGCAAAATCGATCTCTCTCTCGCTGTCTCTCTCTTTATGGCTCTCTCTTAATGGCTTTTATAAAGCTATCTCTCTCTCTTCCTGCTTGATCAAAGTGCTGACAAAACAAGACAGAGAGAGAAATAGAGAGAGAGAAGAGTGTGTGAGGCTTCTCTTCCTTTTGATCAACGTGAACAGCAGCTCGCTCTCTCTCTCTTACTCTTCGCATTACCTGCTCTCTCTCTCTCTCTCTCTCTCTCTCTCTTACTCTTCGCATCTTACAAAAGTATCGTTTCCGGCAATTAATTCGCTCTCACCTTGGATATTTGCTCCAGATTCTTGGATAAAATGTGTTGAGCTTCGGCCGTGCTTTTGTCCTGCAGCTCCTTCTGCCAGCGCAGGGCCTCCGCGAAGATGTCCTCATCGTTGCCCGAACGCTGTGCAGGACACAAGAGAAAGAGAGAGAGAGAGAGTTAGCACTTGATCTTCTGTAGGAGTTGGAGACTGAGCAGCTTACCAGGCTGAAATCGACAGGCGTGTTGTAGAGACTCGTCTTGGCCTCGATGTCCAGGATGCGATAGAGCAGAAAGACGGAGAAGAGGGCCAGCATAATGGCCAGCATGATGCCCAGATAGAGTACGTGCAGTTCGGTGAGCGTCGGCAGCCGCAGCCTGAGATGCGAGCGCACCGAATGCCCCAGCCTGCTCAGATGGCCCCCCTCGGAGCGGGCGGGCACTGTGCCGGTAGCCGCTGCCACGCCCACGCCCCCACCGACGCCCCCACCGACGCCGACGCCAACAACAGTTACGGGCGATGACGAGCTGGACGGCGGACCGGAGCTGGAGGCAGCCGAGGCAGTTGCAGAAGTGGACGCCGATGAGTTCGTGGAGCGGCTGCCAGCGCCGGCCAAGATGAGCACCGCGCCCGCCGCCAGCGTCGGCTCCTCGTAGTGGACAATGGGCGGCGCGGAGCTGCGTATGGTCCCCTGGCCATGGGCCAGGTCCAGTGTGGAGCACTTCGTCTGTAGATCTGCGAGGAGTTAAGAGTTAGAGCGATTCACTGGACTGGCATGGAACACTTACCGGAATGCCTGTCGCTGCCGGGGCGCTGTCGGAGCAGCATCTGTGTATCCAGTTGGGCAGCTGGCGCCGAGGGATCGCGCAGATGGGGCGGACTCTCGTTGCCGCTGATCGAGCAGCTGCTGTCGTCGTCGAGTATATACTCCTCGGTCAGCTCGACGTCCGCGGGCAATGGCTTGGGCAGTATTTCGGCGCCGGTGGCCAGATGGCTGCACACGGTGCACATCAGCCGGAAGGCCGACTCGCGGCTGATGAAGCTGCCGAACACGTGACGTTCATCTGCGGTGGCCACGCCCACAGCGTTTGGTATTATTTTGGCCGTTTTCTCCTTGGAGATTTTCGTCACCGACGATGTGGGAATAACAACCTGTTCAATGTTCAATCCACCGTTAGATGGCGCCACCTAATCGCAGTCTGGCAAACACTCACCTTGGTCACATAGCCAAAGACATTGGAATAGAAGGCGAAATGATCATCCGTTATGTAGAGATGGCCCTGTAACGGTATATCGCCAACTAGGGCGCACGAAAAGTCTACAATTCGCGAGAGAGAGAGAGAGAGAGAGAGATAAACGGTATTAATAGAGAAGTACAGTTATGTTGTGGTTCAGTCAGCTTAAGCTAGCCCAGGCTAAAGTCTACAAAGGGAGAGAAAAGTACAGTTATGTATGGGATTTAGTCAGCTTAAATAGGCCAGGCTAAAGTCTACAAAGGGGGCGAGAATTAACGGTATTAATAGAAAAGTACAGTTATGTTGGGATTCTGTCAGCTTAAAAAGCCCAGTCTAAAAAAGGAAGAGAAAAGTACAGTTATGTTGGGATTTAGTCAGTTTCAACAGCCCAAGCTAAAGTCTACAAAAGGGCGAGAAAAGTACAGTTAAATAGCCTAGCCCTAAGGTTATCATTGAATGTTTCTGAGCCAAATCTTGATTTTTCACGACAAATGTTAAGAAATCTTTTCTTATTTGTATGCCCTTGCCGAGGGTCGAAATTCGAATGCCCTCTAAAAAGCAGCTGTAGCACGTAAGTTGTCAACGGGAGGCGCCACCTGGCGGCGAGTACTTACAATTGATAAGCTTCTCATCTTTGGAGACCTGCGAGAAATGCCGATGAAACTTTTTCACGCGCGAACTGGAGACTTCCTTGCGCTTCTTCTCCTTGTCGGTTGGCGTTACGGCAACTGCGCCGCCTGCAGCTGCTGATGTTGCCGCAACGCCAGCGCTGGCAGCAGCAGCAGCAGCGGCGGCGGCGGCGGCGGCGGCAGATGTTGAGGAGATCGCTGCCACCGCCGACGCCTGCTGATCATGTTGTTTGGCCGTGTTGAGGCCTTTGCCCTGGCCCTGGCTAAGGGTTTGACTGTTCCGGGGACTGGGGCTGGGACTGCTGGCGAGGCTCTGGGCGCTGCCGCTCGACTGCAGCGGTCCGACGGAGCTGCTGTAGCTCTGGGGCAGGGAACTGCAAGGTGGCAGAGAGAAGAAAAAAAAGTGGTTAATTAAGTCTACAAGTTACAATTGCCAAGAAATACATATTTCAATCTATGGAGAGTTTAAGTTTTAATCCAAGCGAATTGGCAACGCCAATTTGAGCGGGGTGGCAACACTCAACGAAGTCTAGCTGCAGTATGGCTAGGCTAGGTAGTTAAACTGCCTCTTAAACTTTGACAGGTGCTTGTGGAGTTTGCTTAATGCGATATTAAACAGCTTAACTAGCTGTCAAGTTGCAGATTTGACAATCGATTGTCAAATGTTGATCGTAAGTTAAAGATGTGACAGTTAGTTAATTTGTTCTGCAAATCAACAAATATCTCATGCTTCTTAAAGCACATCGAAAGCTATTTTTATAGCTTTTGTAGACAAGTTTCATTTTTACCTGTTCATTTCTCTCAGATCCTCTCACTCACTCTCTCTCTCTCTATCTCTCCCTCTCTTTCTTATATGAGGCTCTCATATAGAAGACACGTATGAGTAGGCTGCGCGAGCTTTTAAGCTCTGTCATTGCACGCTTGGCTATGCAGGCAAAAGCTCACTAATACACACACACACACACATTAACTAATACTTAAGCACATGCAAGGATTGTAAATTAAGAACAGCTGATTGTGATTGTGTCCAATTCGACAGCTTTATCGGGCGTTAGCTTAAAGATACACCAAATGCCCGACCATGGCCACAGACTTTGACAAGGTTCGGGAAGCCTTTTAGATAAGGCTTGGGCTTGTCGAGAGCCTCAGCTTAGCTTCATCTGCCTGGCTGGCGACGGGTTAGACTAAGCCAAGGTAAGGCCAATCGATTGGCCATCAGAACTTTACGATGGAACATGGGCAACTGGTGGAATACCTTTTTACGGTTTATGGCCCAATTGAATGCAGTAAAATTAGCGATACGCGGCCCACGGGGAAAGGCTAACCGTGGCCAGCTACTCGACTCGACTCGACTCGAGATAGACAACAGGTGTAAAAGAGCGATCGGGTAATGTCAACGTCACGGCTAATAAGTAAATGTTAAAACGTGATGATTAGCTATTAGTATACCCTGTACAAATTGAAAATGGCAAAAGGAGGGTATACAGGCTCTGTGCAAATGTATGCAACACACAAAAGGCGGCATCTTTGCAGCTATAAGAGCTTTGGATTTGAAATTAAATGTATACACATTTTCAATATTATCGATAAATATCGATTTTGAACAAAATATTTTAGTCAAAGAGCAACAATTGCAAAAGCTAACTTTGAAATTAAATACAAATAAATTTTTTCTATTAGACGCGGAACGATATCCTTTGCGATTTACATACTATCGATAAATGTCGATTTTGAAGTTTTATTTTTATTACAGTTCAGGAATTATAAGAGCTACAAGCTTGAAATATAATTTATAATTGTTCGTCCATCATACGCAGAACGAAATACTTTGAAATTTCCATGTTTTCGATAAATATCGATTAAAAAAAAAGATATTTTAAGCATAACTCAGGAGTTATAAAAGCTAGGAATTTGGCATGTAGCTTCATCTTTTTCGGACACCTTCCCTATTGATTGTGAAAATCACAGCTGTGCCGTGCACAGGGTATCTGCTAGTCGGGCACTCTCGATGGGAGCTTTCTTGTTCTTTTTAGTTTTTGTTTTTGGCTGGTGGAATCGAACATTGATATATTGAGAGAGCTTATCGCCAGACGAATGAGTCGATTTATGGTTAGAAGCTCATGACAGTCTAAGGATTTACAATTGACAAGTCTCACGCTTTATCTAGCCCGCTCTCTCTCTCTCTCTCTCCCTCTCTCTCGCTCTCTGTCCGTCTGTCGCACCACGCTGTCTCGGATCATAATGATCTAATATTCTGAGCTAGCCTACCCCCCATGAACACATTCCAAAATAAAGACTGATAAGGTGTCAAGGGCTGTCTTATATATTTACTTTTTATCTATACCACGAAGCGGCGCATGAATCAGCCGAAGCGTCGGCTCAGCAGCCAATCCCCGGGAGGTGACCGACCTATAATAGGTGAACCTTAGTATATATATATATATATAGGATAAAGCTGTCCAGTTTTGCCGATAGGCGGCATTTAATCTTTTAAGGGTTTGGGGTCGGGCAACTATAAGACTAAACTGGTCTGAACTCTGGCTGATCGTTGAGTCATCTCGTCAAAATGTTGTCATTGTTCAACAATAAACGTGTTTTTTTTTTTATTTTCTTTTCTCAGTCAAAGGTTCGCAAGAAGCCAATTGGGTTATCGGGGAAATGTCAAGTGCCGGGCGAGTATTATGAAATATGCTCCGGCTCTGGGGAAAAGATTGCGGAACAAACAAAGAAAGCGTTTAAATATAAGTCTTGCAACAGACTTACGTAATTGCGTTACGAATTGCGACTCTCTGTTTGGGATATCAATGGTAATGTTACGTTACGTAAGGCTGTTACGTTATTGTTACCATATACCACAGGGCACAATGTTAACTCTTTGAATATATGGAAAGAGGTCTACCAAGAACAAAATCTGAACACTTTCTTTTCAGATGAAAGAATATACTTCACTTAAATCCCATTATAATATATATTTGTACCATAAGCGAAATCTGGTAATGTTCTTTTAGGATCGAAGAAAAATATACTATTACTCAAATAAAGTATAGTAAAGATGAGCAGATATTATTCTATAGAATGCCCCAACTTCCCATAAGTTGAATGAAATAATATGAATTCAGGTAGAACTAGAATTTAGTTTCAAACTAGATCAATTTACAAAAACAAATTTGACTTTTGAAGGAAATATTTATACATTGAAAGCTTTGCTAACGGATAGTATGGACTTATAGTCTAATTCCACTGTCAACATTTCTTACATTTTTTGCGAGTGTAAAATTTGTTGCCAGTGTGAAATTTTTTCATTTTTCACAAGAGTCCATTAAATGGAGCCCCTATTTCGAGGCCGAATTATTTGACTTTTGGAAGGAAAACTTTACTTTACGTTGATCTCAAACCGATCAGCTGTTTATTTCAGGAATCGGTACTTTTGTCATTCATATGTTACCGACAACTGACACTTGCCAATGGAATCGCAGAATGTGAAGTTTGTAAATGTAACATATTTTGAGCATATCGGAATCGGGCTATTATTCTTAAGTCTAGTTAGTTAAAATTGCCAACCTTATTTTTCTATTACACTTTTTTTAGCAGGAAGAAAGCTCTAACCGCGGGCTTTTACTCAAACGAGCTTTTACTGTATTTCATCACAAATTCTCATTTTTGCGTGTTAAATTTCTAGAAAAAACACTTAGCAAAGGATTTCAATAAACATTTTAGATGAATTTTCTTAAATATTATTGAAATGTTGAATAAAAGAAAGAAAATTAGAAAGTGCCAATTCTATTTTATATAGAATTCGCATTTCTAAAGTTAACAACTGAAGTCCGCGCTTAGGGCACAATTTCAATGTTCTTTACTACGTCATCATCATGATGAATGCACCGTTCTTATACAACCTTCATCGTTGGAGTAACTCTTGGCTTTCCAAATCTATGCAAAACAAACGCAAATTCGCTTCACTTAATCATTTTCAAGTCAAGCCCTTTTTTGCTCTAGTTCTAATTCTGTTTTCAAGTGAGGCTCCAATTCGCCCTATTTGCATATCGAATTCGCTGTGCACTTACGGCGTGGAATTGTAGTGTTGTTTAAGCTTGGCATTCGCCTTTAGCCGCTCGACGCCATCTTGTGCGCTGCTCTCTTTTGTAGTGCGCTCTCGCAGGCTGCTGCCGGCGCTGTTGCTGCTGCTGTTGCTGTTGCCGTTGCTGCCGGATTCGATGAGGGACATGCGTTTAAATGTGCGCGCCACGGTGCGTGCGCCGCCGACGACAGCGTCGCCGGCAGCATAGACAAAGCTGCGTTCGCGGGAACGGGAAAGTGAGCGCGCGTTGTTCTTGCGGCGTCTAACCACCGGCGGATGTGTGATATTGTTGTAATCGTTGCTCTCGTTGAGCGCATCGTTCTCAATGCTCTCACTGTTGTTGTTGTTGTTGTCATTATTGTTGTCATCAACAACGGGCGCTTGCAGTGAATCATTCGCCGCGCTGCGAATATCAACGCGCCCCGTCGCTGGCGTTCCCTCGTCCGCGGCAAGATCCTGTTCAAAGTAGACGCTGAGTCGGCCATTGCTGCGCGGATTATCCCCTACATTCATTATTATTTGCTTTACTTAAAATTTGTTTTAGTTAGACACAGCACCAACAAGAACAAAAAGAGAATACATATATTGAAAACACGCGCTGTCGATTGCATTCGTAATGCAACCAGACACTGTAACTGTAACCGAAGCTGTGACTGGGCAAAAGCAATAGAACTGTCAACTGTCAACGGTCAACTGGTAACGGTGCTTTTCTTCTTGTTGCTCCTCTTTGTTTTTGTTATTTATTCTGTTTCGGATGCGCCGTCGCCGTCCGTCGCTGGTCGTGTTGTGCGCCAGCTTCTCGCGTTAACTGAAACGTTTAACAGCGCCGGCAACAGCAGCAGCTGCCGTTGGGCATTTACCATTGCCATTGCCGGCGTCGACGTTGCCAGCAGCAGTAGCAGTAGCAGTAGCAGCAGACGCAGCAGCGTCGGCAGCGACTGCGCTGTGCCGTTCGCCGTTTGTTTATAACACGCTTCAGTCCGGGGAGCGCAACAACAACAAGGAGCAGGCTGCTGATCAACGCATGTTATACCCTCGTTAACAGTGGGGGGACTTATCGTGTAATTCCATGCGCTGTTGTGAGCTCTGTTAAGTTATTGCCATGTTTATTTTAAGCATAAGAAATTGCACTTATTTATTTGTTATTATTTATGCCTAATGCATTATATTATTATTGATAAGCATTTAATGTCATTATTATAATTATATTATTTTAATACAGTCTCTTAACAGTTGCTGCGTACAAAACGAGATACCCGTCCATGGCAGCACATATGCTACAGGGCATATTATGAACATGTGAATGTGCTTTGTTTTGCTTTGTCTTTGCTTTTATTTTTACTGTTTTCAGTGATTACAGACGCCTTGAGATAACACTTGGTTCTATCACAATTAGTTAATTGTTAAATTTTGAATTCTGTTCGACATTTGCTTTGTTTTTGTTTTTGTTTTCTTTTCGTTTACAAATTAACGGATGAAGTGTCAATTAATTATTTAACTATCAGTTATCGTTCAAAATTGTTCAGATAATGCATTGTCGAAGAGAGCGCGTGAGAGCCTCAGCTACTTCTTATACATACATATACTCTCCTATATAAACATATGTATATAGATTTTATCAATGGACTGCTTTGTCTTTGCTCAAACTTAGATAACAGCTTTTGACAGCAGGTGTGGTAAGGGGGGTTGTTGTTGTTGCTGTTGTTGTGGACAGGTGTGTGTTCGCGTGGGATTGTCCTGTAAACGGACGCCCCATCCTCTTGGGGGCCAATCCGAGCCAATGATTCATCATGGAACACTTTCGAGTGCTCCATAAAATATCTTCCATTGATTATGCGCTGTTAGTTGACATTTAATTGTTTGTTCAATTGGCAACCTGTTGAGTGGCCGCGTCTCTGACTCACCCAACGTCAGTCGCGGGCGTATTTATGAAGGGGGGGGGGGGGGGGCGTGCCGGAGCTTTGGCACGCGTTACCCTCTTTGATTTTATCACTGCGACTGGGGAGCCTTCCATGTGAGCCGCATGAATCATTGGGCCTTATCAAACATGGTTTGGGGGCGGGCGAGCAACATGAATGCAATTGTGTTAAAGTTGAATGTTCAGTTCTGTATAAATATTTAACAACATATGTTTGGCCACACGTGCCATCTGTGTTTATCAAAGAGTTATCTATTTTTTTTTTCACAGGTGAGCTGAGTAAGCTACTCGCTCGAATGTGTCACTCAGCATTTGATGGCAAGTAGCGAGTGATTTGTGTGGGATCAGAGTGACCACCATGTTGCTTACGCACACTTGTCCGAATCTAACGAGTTATTATGAGTAACATATTCGCCGGAATGACTCATGGTATATCCGAGGGGTTTCTAGTAACACAGTTGCAAGTCTAAGTGACAAACTAGATGCTAAAGTAACTAACGAGTAGGAAGAGACGACTGTGACGACTACTCGCTGAACTGAGGAACGAGTGACGACTACTCCCTGAACTGTGGAACGAGTGAAATGTTGGAACGATCAATTACTACTCGTTGAAATATGGCACGAACGATTACTACTCGCTGAAATGTGGAACGAGTGAGGTCTACTCGCTGAAATGTGGCAAGAGTGATTGCGTTTTGAATTGGAATGTGAGTATTCAGTAACTATATTAGAGATTGTAACGAGAAGGTAAGCGACTATGAGGCTTAAAAAACTAGCAAGTGCTTTGCAAGCTACTCGCTCGTTTGTATTTCGAAACTAGCGAATGCTTACGCGCTCATGTAACTATTTGCTTCATGTAGCAAAAAGGCTTCGGCAATTTTACACAGTAACACAAAACTAACTTCCATGCAAAGAAAAACGCGGCATACATTGTCTAAATAGTAACGAGTTGCGAGTAAACTGCTCGCGTGTATATCTTACAATATATTTCAATAGCATTTTAAGGAGTAAACTAACCTACTAGCTCGTTTGTTTTATGCTGATTTAAATGCCTGCAGCTCACATTTGGCGAGTAAAAATGCAGCGAGTGATGCGAAAAATTACTCGCTGATGTTAGATACCGTTGATGCTCAAGCCTAATGGGAAACAATCTGTGTTAATTGTGTAACTTACTTATAACTTACTCGTTGGTTGTCTAAAGTCTTGACATAAGCTATCAATAGACTTGTTTGTCCGGGCAAATTGATAACTTCTGCTGCAGCTGGCTGTACCAGTAATCTATGTTGTTGAATGTCTGCCACGCACAGCTGCTGGCAAACACACCTGCCTGACCCTGTCCATGGACCTTGGGCGGCATTTAACGGGGGCATCGCGTTTAGCAAATGGCTCAATCGAATTTTACGAGCTACAAAATGTAGCCATTGACGATTTTAGATGTTTTCTGAGAAACGTTCGGCTTATCAACGCGACTGCCGCATGACAGCCAGGCACGCCCATCGTGTGACCAGCCGCCCACCTGACGAGCAAACACAATAAAACCAACAACAACAACAACAACAACAAGAAAACACATGCCTATTGATAAGCTGTTTGCCAACAGGTGTGCAGAAAGCAGCGATCAGCGCTGTTAACTGCGCTTTAGCTGTATCTTATCGGCATATTGGACCAATTGCCAAGCCAATTACAAACACGCACACACACACACACGCACACACAAACAGGTAGCTAATTGGTGTGGCTCACCTGTGCTCCGGGCCCAATGTCTCCGGCAGGGATAACTGTGCAGCGTATTGCTGGCGTCGCTGTTGCAGCTGTTCGCTTAGAGTTGCTGCTGCTGCTGTTGCTGTTGCTGCTGTTGCGGCTGCTGCTGCTGTTCTAGGGTTGTCACCAGCTGTTTGTCCTGCTGCAGACAGCTGCTGCGGTGCCATGGAACTTGTTGCACGCTCATCGGTGCCGCAGTTGCTGTTGCTGTTGGCTTGGCCGTTGCTGTTGCTGCTGCTGCTGCTGCTGCCGTTGTTGCCACCCGTCGCAACTGTGCAAACAACGCTGCTTGTCGATCTGTTGGTTAATCAACGCCAACGCGGCGCATGAGTAATGTGTGCCACAAAGCGTCAAACCGAACAATTCGTTGTATGTGTGTGTGTGTGTGTGTGTGTGTGTGTGCGTGTGCGTGAGCGGGAAAAAAACTGTTGCATGCTTTTAGGCGGCGACAAATAAGAAACAAATTCGCCGCAAAACTAACGCAAGTCGCGCCTTGCTTTCGGCTATGGTTAAATGCATGTGTGTGTGTCTCTGTGTCTATGTGTGTGTCTCTGTGTGTACATTTTTCTTATATGCATAGATATGTCTAAATATATATAAAACATAATCATATACATTAAGATATCGAAAGTGGGCAAAATGAATAACATAAATTCCTCTTAGCTTAAATAACAGACAGGCGTGTATTACCCGGCATTGCTCGGACCAAATTTCTGTTCGCTTCATATATGTGTAGATATATAGATTAATATAAAAATGGGCAAAATGAATATCATGAAGTTCGCTTATATATGAGACTCGCTGCATTATCCGGCCTTGACCGGTTCAGGTTTTTCTTTTCTTTCTACAAATCTTAGATATTTCTTTTCACCCATTTACCCTCCTGGAACTCCTTGGCTTAATTATATATATACAAAAAAATTTATTTGAAATTGATCGGATGAAAAAACAAAAAATTTGCCATGAAAGTTTTTCACTCATTTTACACACTTGTGAGCGATTTCAAAAGTCGTTGAAGCACGTATTCATTATTTTCTAACGCAGAGCTTCGAAAACGAACTCACAGACGAAAATCAAAGTCTCACCTTTATAAACCTTAACCCCGATTTGCTAATAATATGGATTTTGCAATAAGTGTGAAAAACGTCTCAAATCACTTTTCACAGAGATAATTGGAGCTGAGCTTGAACCCGAAATTTGGCACTGCAAAATTTCCCTGTTAAAAAGGGCGAATTTGGCGAAAAGCGTGAAACAATTCTCAAATGAGGCTCGCAGCTTAGAAAATTAGTTTGAAGAAGATTGAATAGTAAGCAATAAAGTTGCAAAAGAGCCTCTTCCACGATTTTTCCACAGATGCGGGTGGAATGCAAATGAAATGTTCTGAGATGTTGCTCTTTATCTAAAGTCTCGTTGGTATTTGTCTGTCTAAAATCCACACAGAGTTAAGCTTTTTGCAGAAGTTTGCCCCTTTTTTTTTTTGATATGTCGCATATCGGATTTCATCGGAAGTGAATTGAAAAGGCCTTGTAACGTTTATGTTCATTCTGTATATATGAATTGCAATTACATATTTGCTGTGCTAATTGAGGCGAAGAGCGTGCAGCACGCAAACTAATTAGGGTCGAGCAAGTCACTCAATTAATCCATTTATCCATATATAGAACATATGTATATATATTGATACCTTATAAATCGTTTCTCGTATTACATTTGAGCCGATTATCGGACCATAAATGCGTCATTTGGTCTCTTGAATTATTCAAATGCACTTGGCAAGTGCGTTGAGACTTTTCCGGATGTCCTGACGTGCCACGTCGCCAACGACTCCTCAGCCAGATCCTGTTGTGCCTGGCAGGCATCGACAGGTGTAATGACAGTTTTGGCTGCATATTTCATGAGCTCTTTACCGATGCGAGCAGCTGCCCAACAAATTTGCTAATTTGCCGAGGGGGGAGACTCATTAAAAATTATATATGCCTCTTTTTTTTTGCCCTTTAACGCTTTTTAATCCGTGCCAGATGTTAAAAACTTTCACGCAAACTTATGAGCATTATGATAATTGCGAATTTTTTATAAGGTTTGGTATTGCGCAACTCTGGCAAGCCGTGTGAAAGTCTCAAGCCTCTAACAAGCATGGAATATACGCGTTGACAACCCTTTTCAATTTAGGTGTAGTTTGATAATTCTAATAAAAAATGATGTTCGAATGAGTTGACAACCCTTTTAGAGATAAATGCTCACAAATTACTGCAGATCTTTAAAATGGAATTGTTTACAAGCTTTGGTTACTTTAATAAAAAATGATAATCAAATAGCTTGACAGCCCTTTTAAGGAAACGTAAAATATAAATATTTACAATCTATGGTAACCCTAGTAAAAAATGATGATCAAAATTGTTGACAGCCCTATTAAAGATAATTGTTCAGATATTTTTGTAGACACTTACAATACAATTAATCACAAGCTTTGGTGACGTTGACAACCCTATTAAGATCGATATACAGAAATTTTCGTAAACACTTAAAGTAAAAGTATCTACAAATTTGGATAGCCTGACAACCCTTTTGCAAAACGTTGGCTACCCTTAATCAAGTATTAGACAACTTGGCCACACTAAACATGAAAATCTTTTGCACATTGGCAACCCTTAAAATTTAAACCTTTAGAAAATAGGTATTTAAAAACTTTGCAAACCTTAAAAGATTTATGATCAGTTGCGAAACTCCACAAAGGTTTTCGGTGGTTCAAACCCAAGCTTTGAGGCTCGCTTTTGCCAAGGTAAAGTTATGATATTTTTTTAAGCCAATATCGAGCGAGTTTATGGAGTTATGGACTACTCTTTGACTACTTTTTCATCGACTCTCTTTCGACTTATCTCTTTTCAGCTAGAGAGAGTCCTCGAACTAAGATCTGAAGAGCTTTATCGGAGCGAGAGAGCTTTGAGTTTGGAGAAATCTAGTCACCTTTTGGCTAGCAATCGAGGCGTGCGTCAGCTGTGGCATTTACGGATTGTCAGTTGCTTTTGGGGAACAGCACACAGAGCACTGGAATAGTGTAATAAATTTAAGTTGTAAACGTGTTTCAATCTTTTTTTTTCTTTTATATTTAGTTTTAAATTTGCTAAAAGTGGGAGAGCCCAATTCAAATTAACATCATCGAACAGAGGAACCGGCAAAAAAGGCGAAAAAAAAAACCGGAAAAAAAAAACAAGACAAACCAAGTTGAATTCCGAGAACTTACAGAGGATTTGCGAGTAAATCGAAGAGAGCTAAAAACCAAAAAAAAAAACAAAAAAAAAACAAAAAAATACGAAAAGAAAAGAGTTAAGCATAGGGGAAGGTGGAACAGCATGCCGAAACAGTCGAGCAGCGTGAAGAAGACCTCGCTCAGCGCCGTGGAGCAGTACGAGCTGAACCAATGGCTGGAGGAGAATCGCATCAATCCGTCGAATTTGCGGCGCTCGTTTACGGACGTGCTGCCGCTGGCCCGCCTCATGTCGCGCTACTATCCGGATATGATTGACCTCAACTATTATCCGCCGCGGAACAGCGTTCAGAATAAGCTGTGCAATTGGGAATCGTTCAATAAGCGCGTCCTGGCACGCCTCGGCCTCCAGCTGACACGCGACCAAATGGTGCGCGTGGCACGCAGTGTGCCCGGCTCTGTCGACCTGTTGCTGTACAGCGTGATGCGTGTCCAGATGGCGGCGGAGCGCAAGGCCCGCGAGGAGCGGCCCAGCACCGAGGACGAGGACGAGACTCAGTCGGCGGACGAGCCGGATGACACGAAAACTCTCAACGAGCCGGAGCTCTTGGCCAAGGCCAGGGCCAAGCCAAAGTTGGAGGGCGTGCGCCAGGTCGTGGGCATTGCGGAGACTAAGGATACGGTCAACAGGAGCCTGAAGCAGACGCCGGCGTCGCCATTGAAGCGTGCTGCCGCTGCAGCGGTGAGTGTGAAAGCAGCTGCAGGTGTTGCACGCGGCGGCGGTGGTGGCGGAGGCGGAGTCGGAATCGGAGGCGTTGGTGCAACAACTGGGCGCAACAAGAGGGCGCAACTGGCGATGTCAGCGGCCAGCAGCAAGGATCTAAACCATTCAACGCATCCGGCAGCATCCCGGCAGCAAAGAGGTGAACAACTTTGTGAGCTACCCAAACAACGTACGGTACTTTATTCCATCTATATGCAGGCCGTCAATCAGCTGCAGCGAAAAAACGCTAAGATCGAGCGATTCGATCAGTGGAGCGCCCATCTGGAGAATATGTTGCAGCTGAAATGCGAGCGCATCGACGAGCTGCAACGTCAGGTGGCTGTCGCAGCTCTGGCGAGTCGCCACAAACCGTTGCGCCTGCGGCATCGACGATCGAGGCCCAAGAAACGCAAAATGCAGCTGGCCATGCTCGAGCCTGCCGTCAAAAGGTTATAGTACCAAACACACATAGACACATAGACACACACACAGACAGACAGACACACACACACCCAAGCACACACACACACATATATATATACACACTCCTCACACACATAGCCTATAATATCATGTTGTATCTGTTCTCGACTGCTCACACGTTCCGCTGCTTCCGCTGCTTCCACTGGGTCCATTAATTCCACTGATTCGTGAAAATCCTTTTAGGCAAACGCTTTGTTGGTTTCCACACACTATTTCGGCCAACTCGAAGGTCATTAAGCAAAGACAAAAAACCAGTACATATATATATATATATTTATATATAATGCTCCCAAGTGTATTTCAAATAAATTAACACATTCATTAAATTCGTTTATAATTCCCACAGAGTTTTAGCATAAATGTGAACAAGTGTCGTGGAGCTTTTGTTAAAGCTCAGCTGAAGCGAGAACTCATCGCGAGCGAAAGCTCAGCTTGCGCGAAAGCTCAGCTTAAGCAAAAGCTCAGCTTGAGCAAAAGCTCAGCTTAAGCGAAAGCTTTAGTACAACGTTTTTGAAAATGAATTGCTCTATTTATTAATTTTAAGCTTCATCTTGGTGCTCCTGCTTAGAACATAAGCTCATGTGTGCTTAAAAAAAAAGTCGTGATAAAGCTTTAGACATCATTCCTCAAGCTAACTGTGCTTCTGTTTATAGCAAATGCTGTCTTGAATAACTCGGGTGTTTATTGTCCGATCGTAATGAAATTTTCAGGGAACATATATGAAAAACAAATGAGTGCAAATAACAAAGCACAAGAGAATATCTTGAAAAACGTTTTTCTATTGGATACGGTGGCGAAATCTTCTACGACCTTCTATTTTTGGCGGTTTCTGGTTGTCTTTTCGGCACGTCGTTTTCGGCTTCAATCGGAGCAAACGCTGCGTCAGTTTTCAGAGTGTCGTATTTTTTTTTTTAAAGCTCACTCGAAAACATTCCGAGCTCAATATATCATAATATTCAGTGTGTATTAACCCATATATCTATATATATATTTATTTATTAAATATTCTGAACTAGAAGAAACCACGTGCCGGGCGTTTGGTAGCGCCTAGCAGCATGCACACAATTACCAGCAAGAAGCTCAACAGCGAGGATATCGCCGAGGTGCACAAATGGCTACAGCAGAACGATATAAATACGACGCGTTTGCGTCGCGAATTTTCGGACGTCTTGCCGCTGGCGGAGATGATGAAGCGCGATCATCCGCGCCTGGTGGATCTCAATAATTTTCCGAAACGCAGCAGCGTTCAGCTGAAGGTGGCCAACTGGGAGACGTTCAATTACAAGGTGCTGACCAAATTCAATTTGACATTAAGTCGCGAATTTATCGAGCTGCTATCAACGGGAGCACGCGGCGCCGCCGAGGTTCTGCTCCATGAGATAATGCGGCTAAAGAAGCGACAGCGTGTCGTCGAGACACGCAACGCGATACTGGCCCAGGAGCAAATCTGGGAGGAGAACGACGAGGTGAAAACCGTGGTGGTCAACAAACAGGTCGGCGACGGCATTGTTCAGGTACCGCAAAAGATGATACTCTATTCGCTGTACGAGAAAATGGCGCGCGACAATCTGGCCAAGGAGGCGATCATTGAGTCGAACCAGAAGCGACTCGCCCACATGGAGAACATCATCAAGGTGAAGACGGAACGCATCGACGAGCTGCTCATGCAGATGGGCAAGGCCCCAACCAAGCTATGCACCAGTCCTCGTCTCCAGTGCTCCAGTGCCACACGGGTCCCCTCCACATCTCTGATCAGCTACGAGGCCTTGGGCGCCATACGCAAGCGACATCCCAATACGCCCGCCTCATCCGACTAGAGCCCTGATCTGACATCCGCCCGCCCCTCAATCGGAATTTCCCGTTAATTATTACACACACACACACACACACACACACACACACACACACACACGAATCATATATATACATATATATATTTATTATTAGCGTAAAGCGAACCGTGGTAAGCGCAAGTTTGACCAGTTGCATTCCCAGATTTCCTTCAAATTGTATTTCAGAGTTACTTTCAATTTCAATTCCACATTTCCCCGCACGTCTCGGCAACTCGAACACACAATCTCTCTCTCTCTCTCTCTCTCTCTTTTTTCTTCCGGGGAATCAGATTTCAAATTTTGAGCGAGCTATCCAAAATTTTAACAAGACAATTTTTAAAAATTGTAGTCGATAACGTAAATGTGTGTGCTCTACAAGTAAAACATCGCGTGACAGCAAATGGTTTTCCGAGTTTCAAATCGGTTGCTTTTCTTTTCCCTGAAATCCTAACCTCACACAGCTGGGCGGGAGCTACGCCTGACAAAAACTTTCAAAGAGGAAATCAGGTGCCAAAATGTGCCCAGCTAAGCCGCTGTTCCAATTCCAATACGTTCCAGCTGGCAGACAATGTATAATGAGTCGCCTATCTTTGAGTAGAGCCTTTCATTTTCATTTAAAGTGTTTCGATTCCCACTCGTTCCCGGCAAGTTTATGCGCACATGCCAAACCTTTGGCAAAATCAAGTGCCTAAATGTATATTTCTCACAAGCTGTTCCAGCTGTTCCATTTCCAATACGTTCCAGCTGGCAGACGATGTTTAATGTCTCGCCAATCTTTAAGTAAAGCGTTCCATTTTCACTTTAGAAAATAGTTGAACAGTCGCTGATAAAAGTGTTTCATTTCCCACTCGTTCCCTTTTCCCTTTTGGCAGATGCTGAAGCATAGCATTACTTAAATTTGTGCAAAGTGTTGCATTTTCTGTTTGTTCCACTAAAGAAATGGCAATTGCGAACCAATTCCACTCGTTCCAGCAAATATCGAGTAGTATTGAGGGCTTATAGGAACATATTTTTTCTACTTTAAAATTAATGAGTCTATTTATTGAAAATTTTGACAATCGTTGATATTCTATATATTGCTAATTTTGGGTGCCACATAAGATTTTCACTCGTTCCACTGCATTTCATTTCACCTAGCAATTAGTGGAACAGCTTTGGAGCTAGTGTTTCAAATGCCACTCGTTTCAGGTGATATCCAATAAGCCACTTGCAGTACCGACATTCGCTTAATATATTTGTAGTGTTCATTTTAGGAGGGTATCAAAATATCGTCATGAAATGTGTCACGCATTAAAGGAAACATCTGCTACCCCATAAAGTATATATATTCTAGATCAGCATCAACAGTCGAGTTCATATAACCATGTCCGTCTGTCCGTCCGTCTGTCTGTCCGTCTGTCTGTTTGCGAACTAGCCTCTCAGCTTGGAAGCATTCGTCCTGAAACTTTTCAAGGTTCCGTCTTTCTGTCGCATATGTCGAAACCGGCCGGATCGGTTCACTATATTATTTAGCTGCCATAGGAACGATCGAAAGGAACGGTCAAAAAGTAGATTCCTCTATGGAAAATTTGTTGTTTATCAGGATATCTTAATCAAACTCGGCATTTATAAGTTTCACTCAGCTTCTCATATATATGCAAGATCTTATCAACATCGGGTTACTATATCCTATAGCTGCAATAGGAAGGATCGCTTGAAACCCAAATTCTTATAAGAAAAACTATCTTCTATATGGAAGTCTTTTTCTCATTTGATTTAAACTATAGTGATTATATATGAACTAAATCTTAAGAAGATCGCCGTGATATTTATATATTCGAATCTAAGAATTCTAAGATATATAGCTGTGTAGGAGGAATCGATCGAAAAATTAGTTTGTCTATGGCAAAATATTCTGTTTTTTCAAGATATTTCGCTATTCTCACATATATTCCGAATCGTAAGGCGAATATCTACAGAAGAGATATCCTAACTATCTTGTTTATTTTTGATTACTTTATCAAATCTCTGGGATTCTCTGGGATTCTGGACCTTTCGGCGTGCAGCAGATATCCTAACTATCTTGTTTATTTGGTTTGTATTTATCTCTGGGTTTTCTTGGCCTTTTGGCTGTGAGGTTAACTTTAATATTCGTACCTGGCCTTGAGCAAAATGCGTTTCTTGCCTTTTTGCTGGGAGCTGACCTTTGCCTCTGTCGCTTGGCTGCTGCTGCTGTCGTTCTTGTTGTTGTCGTTCTTGTTGTTGTTGTTGTGTCGATTCCAGCTGTTGGGATGGCTAACAGTTAGGCTCTGGGCGAGACAGAGCAGAGCGCTGCCGCTGCCCGTGCGATACATTCGGTTGTTTTTGCTCCTCGGGGGGTTTGTTTGTTTGCGAGTATCTTGCAGATACACGCGCTCAAATTTGCAGCTTGATAGCTTAATTAAATTAAGTTTTATGGTCTTGTTGTGGGCGTGTCTCTGCCCGTACATATATATATATATATATTTATATGTGTTAATATATTAAATGCCACGTGCGACATCAGAAACAAAACACAATTCAGCATATGTGAGGTCAGTAGTCGCACCTCGCCGAGCGTCTTGAATTGCAGGTGCGAATTTAATAGCAAGGCGAGCGTATTCGTACATATATTCAGTTTATTCGTGTGTGCGATTGACTTGTGCCCGCAATTAGCATAGCTGGCCAATTGACTACTTCAGTTTTAGCTTAGCACGGCACAAGAACACGACGCTGACTGTTGGCCCAAATGTGTTCACGCAGCAGTTTTATACGAAACCTGTCCGGGTCCAATGCCAGGGTTGCAAACGGCAAGGCACCATGGCAACTGTAGGATGAGTCATGGTCTTGGCTCGGGAACGCTTCAACTGCGTTTTACGACCAATTTCAGGCGCGCAGCTCAAGTACTTTCGTAGTTATAAGGCTGAACCGCTTGTGAACCGGTTCAGAGAATTTAAAAATAAGTTGTTAGGGAATCTATTTAAGCTTATAAGATCTTTCAGATGGGCTTATTTGTTATGTATACAAAAATGTAGTGCGGCAACTTCAATACTTTCAGTGAGTTTAAGTCGAACCACTTTTGAACCGGTTCGTAAAGCATGGGGAAAAAGCTGTGGAATGGTTCAGTTGAGTTGCCAAGGTGCTGACGAGTCATTTAAATGCAATTCCTCTTAATTCTCATCAATACAGCACACAGCTCTGAAGCCAAACCACATTTGAACCGGTTCGGAGCACATAAGCTTAAGCTGTTTATGAGCACGCTTCAGTAAACAGGCTCGTCAATGTTAATTAAAATTACCTTTCATTAAAATTACAATATCATAGCTCATATTTTTATAGAGATACAAAGTCGAACCATTTTCGAACCGGTTCGGATAATATTAAAACAGACAACATCACAGAGTTCAGCTGGGTTAACTGGTTATATGGCTAAGCGTATTACATTTAGGCAACGTGATTTGAAGGAAAGGTTCGGCTGAAACACTTTTGAACCGGTTCAGATAATATTAAAACAGACAATATTACAGAGTTCAGCTATGTTATTATTATTATTATTATATTTCTGCAATTTAGTCAAAGGTTCCGGTGAACCACTTTGAACCGGTTCGCAAACCATTTAGGTTTCTTCAATCAAACTGATTTTCTTGTCAGCTTTTAGAATACAAATCCCAAATATGATTAGATAAACGCAAAGCTCTCAAGCCCATGAACTCGGAGCGGCGTGAACCTCAGTGGTTCCGCCATGAACCACAAACAAAAGTTCACAAGTTGCGCATCACTTAATGTTTATTTTGGTCTTTTGGGGGTAACCACGCCCGATTAGGCGCCGGAGTCAATTGACAGCTGTGCAAATTCTCACGGCCCTGCCCGTGAAATTTTTGCGAATTGCATTCTCAGTTTGATGTGTGTTAAGCCGAATAAGTGTTAATACGACCAGAGCAGAGCTGACGGAGGAGTCGGGTCCGCTGCATACGAGCACACGTATCGATTTCCAGAGTCTGGCTATACGGCTATACGAGCAGGAGCTTATGCAACACGCATTTGCCACTTGCATTATCATATATACGAGCAATTATGCACACATATGCACTGGGAGAAAACTCTTTGAACTAGCATGTACCGTTTTTTTTTTTTGTAAATTAAAGTAGGTTTTTTTTTGGTCTTGATTATTGTATGTTGAATAAGAGAAAGAAGCGCACGTGAGGCGAATGCTTGTGACTAAAATCGGTCTATAAAGTCCGATCTTTATGACATTTTTGGGCCTTAAACATATTCAATTGCAATCTCTGCTCTTAGATATGAAATATTTGAAAATCAAAATACTTTTTCACCTCTTCAAACTAAACGTAAAGCTGAGTACATACATAAGTGTTACTCGGCGCAAATATTGTCACAAAATCAATTTTTATCGCTATTATAGAATGGAAATCGAAAAAAAAGTGTTTAATTCCATCTGAAAAGATGCCAACTTTTTGCCTTTGATATAATATAGTAATGTCTTATAAAAAGTCAAATCTGATAAGGCATTTTTCGATAGTTCAACATTCAAACAAATGCTGTAGATCGTTTCTCTCAGTGTGGGCGTCAAACCCCTTGCAATAGCATAGTTTGAGCTGGACAAGGCCAAAGTTTATTAACCCATTGTGAGTGTGTGCGTGTGTGTGTGCCCCCGCGGGAGGCAGGGCGGGGCATGTGGACGGTAACCAAGGCAAATGCAACGCAAATTGCATTAAGCGACAGCGTGCCACCCCCCCCCTCCCCCCCCCTTTACACTCCACCCCTATATGCTGCGGGTCAGCATATAAATTTCATGCCTCGCGGCTATAAGAGTTTTTGCCCGAGCGGGGCAAGGGGGTAAGGGGGGGCGGTGGTAGGCGTAGACAAATGTCGGCACGCAACTAATTAAATGGCGACGATGTTGTCTGAGCCAATGGCAACCGCCCCCCGCCCCCCTGCGCCCTGCCCCCGCCCTGCACGAAATAAAGTGCGAAAAATAAACTCGCGCGATTTGAATTCCAGCGGAAATTGTGGCATTCTCTCAGCAGATACCCTCCCCCCTTCAGTCCAGCTTCATTTATTAATTATGAAATTTACAACAATTAAATAGTCAAAAGTTTTTCCGCTTACGCGCTGCGAAACGAGCCCCTCCCCTCCCCTCCCCTCTCCCTTTTCTTCCGCTTTCAGCCAACCAATTGACAAACAGTTTTCGGTATTCAAAATATTTACAAATTGCAGAAAATATTTGAAAATCAAATAAAAAAAAAACAACCGTGTTTTCTTGTGCTAATGGAAATGTAGGCGAACATTTTCTTTTGACGTTGCTCGTAAATAATTTGGAAATCTGTTGAAAATTCTATTTATTAGCGCCCACAAACAACAAACTGAATCCCGGAAGAACTACAAACTAAATATACGAATGACAA